TGTCCCTTATGGTTTCTATAGAGGTACCTATTCATAAATGCTTTTCAGGGCCCCAAAACTGCAACCCAGAACACTATACATCTACTTCGGAGCAGGCGCTCAGTGCAAAATCGATGAGGGCCATTTCTCAAGTATGCTCCCCAAACCCTGAGCCCAACGCCTGTGCCAGGTTTGTACTGGGGCTCGGTAGTGGGCTCGTTTTAATGTAGTTTAGAGGGTTCGGTTAGGGTTCTACGGTGTTTCGGGCTTTAGGGTTGGACGTTTGGGATAGTAGTATCCGGTGTTACCGGTGTTTTGAGGTTGAAGCAACCCTGGCCCTTTGACCCTACCTTAAGAACCCAAGACCTACTTTTTTGTAGGGTCCCTATAAATCCCACATTAGGGTTTATAATAAGAACCTACAAAAAAGTGGGTGTGGGGTTCTTAAGGTATACTGTTTAAAACGGACGATGCTCTTAACTAAGGGATCACTGGACCTAGCAAGGCACGTTCTGCGGAGTTACAGGCTTGCGTTTAGGGTTTAAGGTTTAGGGTTTAGGGTTCAGGGTTTAGCGTTTTTCCTGGCTTTCTGCGTGCAGGCGGGAGTTGGTTGAAGAAGAAGGCCTTGGCCAAGGCCTCAAACCCTAAACCCTAAACCCTAAACCCTAAACCCGAAGCCCTAAACCCTAAATTCTAAACCGGAAGTGGCATGCCGGCACATCCAGCGGGGACCGGACGCCGAGTCCGACAGGAACTAAGCTAACGCCTAAGCGCTAGTGATACGGCTGATGATCTAAATCCTGCAGTACCCATAATAAGGAATATAGGGTTTAGGGTTTAGGGGTTTTGGGTTTAGGGTTTAGGGTTACCCATAATAAGGAATATGCCAGAATTCCCATAGTTTACGTAGGGTCGTTAAGGTAATGCAGGATTTATATCATCAACAGTATGCTTAATTCGGCTTAGAGCTGCGGCCCAAGTGCGGCAACCTGCGCTTTGCAAGCCTTCTAGGCTGTAGCCAAGGTTTTTGAGGTGCCCTAAACCCTAAACCCTAAACCCCTGAAGCCGGCAAGCGCAAGCCCCCCGAAACCCTATTACTATTAAACCTGAGCCCAGACATCCGAAACCCCAAACCTGTAAAGTGTAGGTTTTGAATCAAGCCTACAGCAACGCTCTCTGACATGCAGAGTCTCTACACTTACGGGCGGATCGCAAAAGGTGCCTTCCAACAAATAGGTAATATAGAAGCCTAAATCACCTATATTCTTTTGCAGGTTCCTTATTATAAATATACTAGATTGGGCGCCAAAACGCTATTCTAATTGTTAAGGCCTCTGCAGTACAGTTGCACCCGAAGCGATTCGGGGCCCCTACAAAGCTGATCATAGCCCAGGTGGACCACACGGCTGCGAATTCGCAGGTGTTCATGAGGCTTCGACTTAGGGTCAGGGTTTAGGGTTTCGGGTTTCGGGTTTAGGGTTTAGGGTCTAGGGTTTAGGGTTCAGGGTTTAGGGGTTCTAGCGATAAGGGATCAGGGTTCAGGGTTCACTGGCTTTAGGACAGGGGGGCCTAAGTAGGAGTGTCATACCAAGAGAGGTGGTCACTTGAGTGAACTCCCATCCAACTGTCTCCAAAACCCCCGTTGGCTTGCATTCATACGGCTGATGGTATAAATCCTGCATTAACCATAATAAGGAATATACCATATCTCCCATAGTTTAGGGTTCTTAGGGTAATGCAGGATTTATATCATCAGGAGTACCTTGATGGGTTTGGGGTTCCTGGGAGCTCACAAAAGCGGTTAGACCTCGCGCAATCGTTGAGGCCCCACTGCAGGTTCAATAGTCAAGCGACTGGCTCCCAGGGGCCGAGCATGCATCAAACCCCGAACGCTAAGCCGCGAACCCCAAACCCTAAAGGTGTATTCGGAGTATATACCCTAATCCCCAGAGCTTAGGGTACCGTGGCCTTGAATGCGGGATTCCGTCCGCATGGTTTGATGGGTTGTTGGGCTGCCCTTCTCGGTTGTACCGGGCTTGAGAGAGGCGGGACCTTCAAAATGAGCAGAGCACAGAAACTGGGTGCACTGTAGCTTCTGGAGCCGAAGCTGTAGAACGCAAATCCTTATGCCTTAGACCGCAACCCTCAACCCGAAACCGTGGAGGGTCTTTCCGGTTTAGGGTTTAGGGTTTAGGGTTTTTGAGACAGGTTTGTCTGACCGGCAGGACATGGATGACCTTATTGAACAACAACGACTGGTGGCACTACGACTTTGTCGCGAAGGCGGGTTCGAACACGGTAATCCGAAGGCGCCCTTACTCCTTCACCGTGACCCCGGCCCTAAACCCCAAACCCTAAACCCCTCAACTCTAAACCCGAACCCCTAAACCCTAAACCCAGGCATCTC